TCGTGTGGAAGACGCAGGCTCAATTTTCCCTTTGTGCCTGGGTTTTCTATATTGCCTTGGGTTTTGTATATTGCTGGAGTATGCCATATCCACTGGGATTCTCTGAGAGAGAGTTATCTCAATCTGTCTCTTGATGAAACTGCTCTACTGTGTATAAATAGTTATTCAAGCAGGGACATGAACTTGGTCTCCTACATCAGAGTGCCGATGACAGGCTATAGTCAGTCTGTCTTGTGTGCTCTCTTTTTTATTGTCTGAATGACTAATTATTCTTACAAAGTGGAACAGCTTCCATAAGAGACACTAAGAAAAAATGCATTCAAGTCTTTTTTATGGCCCAGGGGTTAAGGTTCTTGCTGCAATGTGAGAGACAAATGACTTTTTTGATGTTTTTTAATTGCTAGTGAACCTACATGACAAAGCAATGTGTTTGTTCCAACTGTAATTGAATGCAGACAAAGTTAATCAGAGAATCAGAGAATCCTATGGCTAGATGAGACCTCAGGAGGTCATTGAGTCCAGCCCTCAACCCAAAGCAGGACCAAACCCACCTCAATCTTCCTAGCCAGGGCTTTGTCAAGCCGGGACTTAAAAACCTCCATGGATGGAGATTCCACCACCTCCCTACATAACCCATTCCAGTACTTCACCACCCACCTAGTGAAATAGTTTTCCTAATATCCAACCTACACATCCCTGAATGTAACTTGAGACCATTGCTCCTTGTTCTACCATCCGTCACTACTGAGAACAACCTCTCTCCATCCTCTTTAGAACCTCCATTCAGGAAGTTGAAGGCTGCTATCAAATCCTCCCTCATTTTTTCTCTTCTGCAGACTAAATAAGCCCAAATCCCTTAGCCTCTCCTTGTAGGTCATGTGCTCCAGCCCCCTAATCACTTTGGTCATCCTCTGCTGGACCCTCTCCAATGCGTCCACATCCTTTCTATAGTGGGGGCCCAGAACTGGATGCAATACTCCAGATATGGCCTCACAAGTGCTGAATAAAAGGGAATGATCACTTCTCTAGATCTGCTGGAAATGCTCCTCATAATGCACCCTAATATGCCATTAGACTTCTTGGCTACAAGGGTACACTTTTGACTCATATCCAGCTTCTCATCCATTGTAATCCCCAGGTCCTTTTCTGCTGGGCTGCTACTTAGCCCGTTGGTCCTCAGCCTGTAACAGTGCTTGGGATTCTTCCATCCCAAGTGAAGGTCTCTGCACTTGTCCTTGTTGAACCTCATCAGATTTCTTTTGGCCCAATCCTCTAATCTGTCTAGGTCACTCTGGACCTTGTCCCTCCAACATATCTACCTCCCCCTCCCCCAGCTTAGTGTCATCTGCGAACTTAGTGAGGGTGCAATCGATCCCCTCATCCAGGTCATTAATAAAGATGATGAACAAAACTGGCCCTAGAATTGATCCTTAGGGCACTCAGCTTGAAAATGACCACCAACCAGACATCGAGCGATTGATGAACCTGACAATCTAGCCATTTATCCAATCCATACTTACTTAACTTGCTAGCAAGAATATTGTGGGAGACTGTATCAGAAGCTTTGCTAAAGTCAAGGTATATCACATCCACTGACTTTCCCATGTCCATAGAGCCAGTTACCTCATCATAGAAGCTAATCATATTGGACAGATATGACTTGCCCTTGGTGAATCCATGTTGACTATTCCTGATCACTTTTCCCTCTTCCAAGTGCTTCAAAATGGATTCCTTGAGGATCCCCTCTATAATTTTTCCGGGGACTGAGGTAAGGCTGACTGGTCTGTAGTTCCCTGGATTGTCCTTCTTCCCTTTCTTAAAGATGGGCACTACATTTGCCTTTTTCTAATTGTCTGGGACCTCTCCCAATCTCTACAAGTTTTCAAAGGTAATGGCCAAAGGCTCTGCAATGACATTTGCTAACACCCTAAGTACCCTGGGATGCATTAAATCCGGACCATGGACTTGTGTACGTCTAGCTTTTCTAAACAGTTCTTAACTTGTTCTTTCTCACTGAGGCCTACCCACCTCCTTCCCATACTGTGTTGTCTAATTCAGTAGTCTGGGAGCAGACCTTGTCTGTGAAGACAGAGGCAAAGAAAGCATTGAATACTTCAGCTTTTCCCACATCATCTGTCAGTAGGTTACCTCCCTCACCCAGTAAGGGCCCCCACACTCTCGCTGATCACCGTCTTATTGCTAACATGCCTGTACAAACTTTTCTTGTTCCCCTTCACATCCCTTGCTAGCTGCAATTCCAATTGTGCTTTGCTGCATAGAAGCACATTATGAAGTCTCAGGAAGATTATTGTGCTGCACAGAATAAGTGTGAATGTTTGGGGGCATCTATCTTTCTATTTATGAATACTGTTAAACATTGAAGGTGTCTACACTAGCCCCCTAGTTCGAACTAGGGAGATTAATGTAGGCATTCGAAGTTGCAAATGAAGCCCGGGATTTAAATATCCTGGGCTTTATTTGCATCTTCCCATCCGGGTGTCATTTTAAAATCCTCTTAGTCTGAGCTAACTGCCCGCGGCTACACACGGCAGTCAAACATTAACTCGAACTAAGTCCTTAGTTCAAGTTAACTGTTACACCTCATTCATTTGCAACTTCGAATGCCTACATTAGCCTCCCTAATTTGAACTATGGGGCTAGTGTAGACATAAGCCGAGGGACTCTTTATATATACCTGCATCAGATTGGACTTGAGATGTGTAATCTTGTTATTTCCCTATCTTTTGCCTCTATGTTAAAATGGAATTCCCCAGGTTAGTCGCCAATAGCTATCAATGAAGGGCCATTGATCTAAGAGGTTTCCCACTGAAATAAAATCTCTGCAAACAATAGACCCTTTTGTCAGGGAAGAGTGGTCAGGCAGTGAAGTCACTTCTTGGGGGTCTAATCACCTCAGAAGGTTGATCAGGAGGTCACCAGACTAAGGAACTAGGAGATTATAAAAAGACAGGAGATAGTCTGGGTTGTTTGGGCAAGTTTACTAGCTCAAGGTGAAAATTGCTGCATAGAGATGCCTTAATGAAACCCTTCTTTGCTGAACACAGTTGGAAACCAAAGACTAAGGGAATGGTGAGCTACTAATGGGCATTGTGTTTAAGATGTGTGTTTTTTCCTAAATGATCTGTGCTCTTTTGCTGTGTTTATATAAAAGGTAATAGCATTAGCACCTGTGCAAGTGTCCCTGTGTTACATGTTATGGCTAAAACGTCACCCCTGCAGGAGAAGTATAAGGATCTTGCACAATACAGGGGTGTTGCGCAAAACAGAAGCGGCTACACTGCTTCTTTTTGTGCAGAAACCCCTTGTTCAAAAAGAAATGGCAGAAAATATGCTACTGATATAGCAACTTATACTAATGAATCCCTCATTAGCATATTTTCTGCCACAAAAACTCACAGTGCAGACATAGCCTGTGTGTTTATATATGTATGTAGATATAGGTCATTACACTATCAAAGCACTGGAAGTTATCCCAAGGTATATATGTGTTGAGGCTCTTTCATTTCTGTTGATATTTTGATTTAAAAAAATATCACACTGAGAACTGGACTGTACCTTTAAGTCATAGCTCTGTGTGGTAGGTGAGTGACCAAGCAACATGCATTAGGCATCATGGCCTTTGCATTTTTTACTGTAAATGCAAAATAATTTGCCAGGCTGCACCCCTGTTCATTAATTGACTTCCATTTTTAAAGACATTTTGCAAAGAAAAGTGCCAGAAACCCAAGAGTCTCTAATTACCTATACCCCATATTTCACTTGATCAAAATATCTGATATATGTTCTGATCAGTGATCTAGTAGCAAGGATGTAAGACTGGCATTAAAGAGTTCTGTCACAAAGCCAGGTTTAATTTAAGCAAAGCATTTAATACACACCATTCCTCATTAATAATATATAGTTTAAATATGTCCATACATGGATGGCCATACGATGGGAACTATGCATTGTCCACAGAAATAGAAATTCTGTGTTCCAGACATTAGGCAGCCATAGTGCCTAACAGCTTGCCTCACTCAGTTCAATTGTACCTAGAATGCCACTGTATCCAGCCTAAAGCATCTGCAGTCCCATCTTCCTTTATGGTATCTCATTAGGGATGTTTCTAGACTGGCAAGTTTTTCCGCAAAATCGTCTGCTTTTGCAGAAAAACTTGCCAGCTGTCTAAACTGGCCGCTTGAATTTCCGCAAGAACACTGACGATCTCATGTAAGATCGTCAGTGTTCTTGCGGAAATACTGTGCTGCTCCTGTTCGGACAAAAGCACTCTTGCGCAAATCATTTGTGCAAGAGGGCCAGTGTAGACAGCATAGCACTGTTTTGCGCAAAAAAGCCCCGATGGCTAAAATGGCAATCGGGGCTTTTTTTGCGCAAAAGCGCGTCTAGATTGGCACAGACGCTTTTCCGCAAAAAGTGCTTTTGTGGAAAAGAATCCGTGCCAATCTAGATGCTCTTTCCCAAAAATGCTTTTAACTGAAAACTTTTCTGTTAAAAGCATTTCCGGAAAATCATGCCAGTGTAGACGTACCCCATATGTTTGTGCCCAGGAATGGGATCCATTCTATACAACTCTGCAATCCTAGCACAGGCAAATGTCTACAAGGGTAGCTTTGCAGTGTTTATTCTGAGAATTCCAACTGCAGGTGAGTCACCAGCGTTTTTGCTTAACTTGAGAAATTGTGTAGGTAGGACAATTTCTCTCACATGCATAGTCCAGTAGCTAAATGTATATGAACTCTGACAGAGGCCAGGGTTGGGGTTTTTTGGGGGGGGGGGGGGAAGGAATAGCAGGGGGAAGGGAAACTGAAGTATTATGACTAGGAGGAGGGTCAGAAGCATCATACTATTTCTGTCAATTCTTCCATTTGCTCATCTACAGCACCCAGGAGGAACCACTTTGGAGACTGGAGAAAAAATGATATAGCGGAATGTGAAACTTTGTGCAAAAAAAATAATAATTCTTTTCTGTTTTGTTGCAGGGAAATAGACATTATTTCAGTTTCAAAGTGAAACAAAATCTTGAGGGGCATGAAATCACCTGAAGCTAAATACCAAAAGTCCTAGCATGAAATTTCACAAGACGTAAAGGCTGTTTGGAATCTTTAGAAAAACATAATTTTTAAAGAGGCATTAACCCTCAGGAATTTTTAAAACCCTTCAGTACTACATATCACCGTAACACTTTTTTTTTCATCAAAATCAAGGTGTTCTAAGGTTCCAGTGTTTTGACAAATATGACAAATATCATTTGAGATATTCTGTCTACCTACATTTTCATTTCAAACCTACACTGCAGCTTCAATATTAATCCTTTCAGTTTTTATGTAAGAAAGGAGAGGGAGAAACACAGACCTGTGGTATTTATTGTGAGTGATATCTCATTTTGCTCTCACAAGTGCGTGGTATTTAGAAGATACCACAATTTATTTTTTTCTTCCAGGAAAGAAAGAGCCAAGTGCAAGGAGCCCAACAGAACCCATGGATGTATTCAAATCCTTGAAGTAGAAGGAACCTAGTTCACAAGAACCCACAGTGCTAAGTGAGAACACACTACGCAATCTATTATGAGCAATATACTTCATAGGTGGACCTTATTTTCAGGTAGATCTTCGAAGAACACCACTACCTTCTTTTCCCCCAATATTAACATTGGGGCCATCTAACATGAAAGAAAATTAGAAAAAAAGCAAGGAATACAAGGCAGCCTCTGATCCTCAGGATTTTCTTTGCCTTGCTTCCTGGAAAAATGGAGTTATTTGCTCTTTGAATTCAGCTGCTCTTTCCTTTGGGAACTTCTAAAACAGAAGAACAAGCAATCACAAAAGGCAACTTCCTAACACTAACTGGAGATCCTAGAATGATTTTGAGGTCTAGTAAAACTGTGTTAAAATAGCAGGCTGTTTCTTTACATTTTAGGGATTTTCTCCAGTCCTGTCTTGAAAGCTAATAGAGGCTGTATATAGGGTATTTTGTGAAATGGGCTAGCAACACTCTCTACAGCTAGAGTGGGGGGCGGTCAGTTGTGCCTCTCTGCTTTAGGGAACAGCCTGTTTTCTCTCTCAGTTTATGACTGTTGTTTGATGTTCTGAATTCGAAGAAATGAAGCAGTGCTACATTGCAACCCTCCAGCAAGAATATATTATGTTTATTGCTACTGCTTTGTGTATGCTATGAGCATAGCAGTTGCATAAAGTTTCCAGCACCTAAAACAACTTAAAGACTACCCTCCTATACTAACTCTTTTGATCCCTCTGGCAGGAAGATATTTGGAGGGGACACCTGTGTGAACCTATTGGGCAGGCCTCCATCTCTCTAGAGAAATAAAGGTTCTGCTTTCAAATGCTTCATTGCTTCTATGCTATGGGCTTGATACTAGCTGGCTGTTCTCTTTGAGCAGTGGGTTTAACTCTGATACGATCTTGAAATCCAATGCTACTTTTGGCGTCACCTACTTCAGTGTATGCTGACTCCTACCCTAGTCTTGCTGTTTCTTCAGACCTTGCCAAGTCTAGGCTGTAATCTAGCATCTTCTAAATTTCTAGTGTGATAAGGTGGACCACTGAGAACATGTGCTAAACTGGTGGAGTTAGAACAACCAGGTTAGCACATATTAAAGTGTGTCTTCTCTACAGTAGACTCTTAAAATGTGTTAATATGTGTTGGCAAATATAAGCTAACAAGGCAGCAGTAAATCCTATTCTAGGCAAGGCCTCAGATCTCTTCATACCTCAGCTACCTTCTTCTCTTCTTAGCCCTGCATCTTTTTCTCATTTTCTTCCACCTCCTCCCTCATTGTTCCATGTGGGTACAACTGAAAAATTGGGTTTCACAGGACTGTTCAGTAGGAATTCCATGAATCTGGCCATATATTTTTTGTGACAGATGGATGAGAGCAAATGATAGGTCTCAGTAGTTAAGTTGCCAGTCTGATACATAGCAAATCCAAGTTTAATTCTCTTTTCCACCACCACCAGTGTTTCCTGTAAGCTGAGTGCTTGTGAGGCCACTCAGGAGAGATTCCAGTGCTGCCCAGCTGATTAGCAGAGTGCCCACGGCTAGGTTTGTGTTTCTACTAGTGGTGCACATTTGTGCATGCTTCAGTTCATATTGAAAAATGTATTCCACACATGGATGGAAAAAATCCACACATAGGTGGACAAAATAAAGGGAACATTGACCACCACTTTCTTGCATGAATTTGATTAAGTCTAAAAATCACCACATCCTTTGTTTAAAATGGGATTAAAACATTATCCTCACAGGAATGTCATGAGAATATATGTATTAAAGATTGTGATGCTCACATACACTACAGTGATGAAAGCAATGTAGATGCAAACTTTTTTCTGTGAGATTTTTTTTCCCATGAAAAAGTAAGAAAATTACATAAGAGATCAGAGTGGCATAAGCCAAAAGTTGTGACTTTCCCAACATGAAGCAAGAGTCTTGTTTTGTACTAGAAATATCTAAATGAGGTGTAGAGAGGAAAGTGATGAGCTGCAGAAAAAATATATTTGATTGTTTTTATAGCCACTAAGTACAAAAACACAGTTAGCAGAATGCATATTTTAATTCACAGGTTGCAATATAGCTTAGAGATTGTTTCTTATCAAAAGGTAGTTTTAAAAAAAATCCACCAATTATGTGGATTTTTAATAAGTATTATTTTTGTATTTAAGAGACGCTTCAAAATGTGCTGTGTAATATTTTTCTTTGATTTTTTTTTCCCCATGGGAGAATACCCCAGAACTATAGCACATGCCAATAGCTTCCTCATGCTAACATATTGCATCTGCATTTATCTCTCATAGAAGGAACATTGCATTGTCTAGTGGGTGGAAATAAAAGATAAGAGGAAAAAGCAGTCAGGAGATTTAAAAAAAATTATTTAGAACTCAATATTTCATGTGGTTTGCTTATACCTCCAGGAGCAACTGTTTGAAAAAGTGAATGTTTTCTTCTGACTATTTCCATCTTTATTACACTAATGAAAAAATATAAATACTGTAGGCCAAATTGTCTCCAGTGTA